ATTACTTCTGTTAGAGAGCGACTATCCGCACTCAACACACGACGACGAACCTCGTCATTGCTCACCCGCCATTCCCACCAGACACGAGCAATGATTCTAAGGCATCGGTGGTCCAATACAGAACGTCGATTAGCATCCTCCGCTCGGAGAGCCTAGGTCTCGAAACCGAAAAGAACACTACGAACTGCGGAGATGTACACCCTTCGCTTAAGGGACAATCGGATATCATGGCGGCGCCATAGGTGTCGTAGGTTGGTAAGAGCTGCTCTAACTTCCGCTATTAGTGATGTGACCTCGTCCCCAACACCACCACCAGCTACGATCAAGCTCTCGACCATTTCCAGCTGATCACCACAGAGGGTGAGTGCAGGCACAGGCTCCTGCCAGTCTTGAACAAACACTGCACTTGGAAGGTGCAAAGCGCAAACCATACCTGGATACCTCGATCGCCAAGCGGTTCAAAGAGTCTTGGACAGCCTGTGTCTGTTCATCCAGTAAGACGATGTCGTCGGCTTATCCTAAGTCAACGAGTCTGTTTCTGGGATGAGTTCGACTCCACCGTTTACTAGACCGGATAAAGCATTCTGTAGAATACACTCTATGACAAAGTTGAAAAGGAATGGAAATATAGGGCAGCCTTGTCGGGCTCCGCTGGAGAAGGCAAAGGGCGGCGAAAGCTGGCCACAAGCCCTAACCCGACCTGAGGTATGACGATACAACTCTTTGAGGATCGACCCGTTTCTTGTCGTATTTCATTATGCCAGCTGCCGGTCGGACGTGCATCGAGAAGGCGAAGAGATTCCGCAGAAACCCAGGGTGTTAAGGCACGATGTGTCAGACCACAAGTAACTAAGCCAGCAGAAGGCACAGCATTTTTGATAAGCGATCAGTGCTGTTTAACGTCATTGAGTGGCGTTGATTCTAGCTTTTTAGCTAGCGCGTTCTGAAAAATAGCTAGGCCTGCTGGTTCAGACAACAATCAAAGTTTAACCGTCGTTGGGAACGCACACCATAGCACACGGACAGCTTGGAGCAAATTAACGCGTGATCGGGTTCGAGGGTAGTGCTCCAGTACGATTGGCAGTCCTGTATGCAAGCCCGCCAGTTGTAGCTTACAACGATGTGGTCGATTTGCGTCCGTCTCTGACTCGAGGATGGCGGGCGCCAAGTGGCGTACCGGCAGTTGAAGTTCGTAGGTGCGTACACTGAGACGACAAACAAGTTGCGTCTTTCGGAGCGACGCATATTCACTTTGCACGAGCCTCTAAGTCTCGCAGCGTATAACCTACTGTCGAACGGGATCTAATCTAGGAGAGCGGTTTCAACTCTCCACACCAACGCCAGCAAGAAAGGAAGCCGCAGCCTCAGGGTCCCCAAAGAAGCGTAAGTGAAACCTCACTGATAGGTTTGATGAGGATATCAATAGGATAATTGAGCTGGAGTCTTGAATGCGAGTTCCTTGGATACAGCACACATTGATGGCTAAGGTCTCGAACGTATGAGCTAAACCGGCCTGTTGTCCTATACGCATCAGAGTGCGCACATTAAATTTGGCTCGTTAAAATGGGCATCGAGGGCGAAGAAGGGCTTCAGCTGGAGGATGATTTAGTGAGACTTGGATGGCAGTCGAGGTAGGACATAACAGAACAGGGGCAGTTTACATCAGAGGCACTAATGTTAGTACGATCGTCTGAAGATCCCGAGAAACGGGGTGGGTCTATAATACAGTTCGACAGGTGTGCGAGATCTGTCGGCAAGACGAATCGCCCTCTTTGTAGTGTCTGGGAAAATATGAGATATTACTGCACTAATACCATGGTTGGAGGCATCTGACGAAACCACAACTGGAAGGCTCGGATTGAAATGTGTAACGGGTTCGAGTTTACTATCGTTTTTAGGCCGTCAAATGCTTGTCCACAGTCTTTGGACCATATCCATTTGACGCCTGTCTTTAGCAGTGTGATCATCGGCTACCGGAGTCGGTGTACGTCTGGTAGGAATGACGAATGATGGCTCATCAAAACCAAGCATTATGGCAAACATGCCAAATCTGTTGTCAACGTGGTTCCTATTTGGTCGTATGTTTCCAACGCAACAAGGACTCAACGGAAGCGCAGAATATGTGATAGCATGTTCAAGTTGAAAGAAGAACTTAGGTCAGGACGGAGGCATAGAGCGTCCTAGACCATCCTGAAATACTATGGTGAACTTCTCATGCAATGCCAAAGTCAGATTTGCAGGCTGTCGATCTAGTGACGAACACAGTCTCAATTGCTGATGAATATTACACACCATTGTTGAATGGTATATCGAGCATACCGAGGGGGCTGAGGTCGGATCGATCGGTTAGATAGCAAGTTACCACAAATTGGTGTGTGAAATGGCACATCACATACTTTTTTTCTCCAGAGAGCAGCAGTGGTCCAACGGACACATTCTAGACAACTGTTTGCTCATTTTTCATTTTCACTTTCTTTTATTGAATGCATAATGATAGAGTTTTTAGGAGGGGGAAGCGACCTGATCACTTGGGGTAGTCCGATCATCTCCCCAATGCTGTGTGAAATAATGGTGATATCTGAACCCGTATCAACTGGACGCTGTATTGGCATGCCGTTCACCAGGATAGAAAACTATTTGCTACAGTCCTCGAAGTTTCGAATGTCACAATGACGGAGTGTGATTTCGGGCCACATATTGTTTGAGGCATCCGACGGGAAGTGGTAAGTAAGAAAGTGTAGAGAGATAGAGAGCTGCGAGTGTTTTTAATAGACACATACTTCTTTGTCTCATTAAGAATTCGAGAATAAAAAAAAAGGCGTGAGGAAATTGAAGAAGGCGACTGTACATCGACTCATCATTACCGACCCCATCTTGATGCGTGGCTGAAAATTTCGAGGCCAATCAAACAGGCCACCATCAATACTTGACCTATCACTCTTCCCCCAGCCCATGATTCAAAAGGTACTTTCCCAAAAAATAAGTAATCCCAAAAGCAAAAACTCTCAGGTCGAAAAGACTGTACCCGTCATTTTTCAGGAAGCAGAGTGTGCGTAAGTTTCAGGGTTGCTAAACGCCGGAGGTGAACATGGGACAGTGAACATGTTCCACCAGAAAGGTGTGAATCGGTGATCATACCGATTAAAAAGAAAGGTGAGGGATCCTATAGTGAAATAC